GTCAAGAAATTACAGCTGCTCCTGTACTGATACCACGCCAAATGCCTCCTCGTCGCCGCTCACCTCTACCTATGCCAATTCGCCGAGGTCCTCCTCCACGTTGGCGGTCACCCCCTCCAAGATACAACATGTATTTAATTTTAATCTTTGTTTTTCAAGTTCTTTTATAACACTTGTAGATCTTTATTGCTTTAAGGCATGGAATAAATTGTTGATTGACTTCATGTCCAAGGGTTGGGCTTAGAGCTAAAGCTAGTATTTCAATATGCTTATAAAATGCAAAGTGCATATTATTTATCTCAATACCTTTAACATTTTCCTGAGAAGATGCTTAAGTTAATCCAGAGAGTACTTGTTCAGTATCCACTATTTAATTATTGACCTATATGGGGCTATACCCAAGTCATTAAATTTTGGGCCCCGCTGTTATCTGGAGGGTGGACTGGATGGATGGTGGGGAGACCAGATGCATTGCCAGTGAGTGGGAGGGGAAGGCTGGTGGGGGAGGGGTGGAATAGGAAAGAAAATCTTTCAGAAACACCAGCACTAGTCATGTAAAGCAGGAACATATGGGGGGTGAATGAGTGGGCAGGTGGTTAAGTGATTACCTGGAGCATGCCTGGAGAGGGTTCAGGAGTTCCCATTTTTTTTTAATGGCATCTGTTAACACTTTCGCGCTTTAGATTAGAGATAACTCGTCGCCGTTTTTTCTTACGATTCCGCATAACAGCCTACTTTTCTCGTCCATCGAAAAAATATTTCTATAAATTCCATTTTTTAACCGAAATGGATGGGGATACTCTCAGATTATATACGTTTTGTAGAGAATTTATTTGCGAATTTTTTGGTGCCAGAATGAATATTATATCACATAAACTTCTATGAGTAAAAAAAAAAAAAAATACACAAAGTATGTTTGGGGGTGTGGCGAGCGTGTGGCAGTGGGTTCCCTTTAGCCGTTGATATATCCAACACGTGGGAAATATTTGTATGTGTTATGTATATGTCTGTGTAGGGAATTTTACTGCGATCACTGTCATACAAATTATAAAATGTTTCAACAAGTATAAACATGACAAACATCAAACGAACGAAAACAATGCGTTCGTTTCTGCCGCGAACGCATACTGAGCGACGTGGTTCTATATTTGGCGCTTCTCTTACACATGCTTTGTACAAATGTTATACATTTCATCTTATAGAAAATTTTATTGCGAACACATTGGTATAAAAAAGAAATACGTACATAGAAAAGTAGGGTCAGGAAACGTATAAACTTTCCAAGCACGATTTACCCCCTGTGTTTTCGCCAGTGCGCTCGCGGCTAACTACTCTCCACTTCACACACTCTTGCGGGTGGGCAATTACCTATATTAAACATTCATATGCATATGTCCGTGTAGAGAATTTTATTGCGATTCCAATGATACCAAAATTAGTGATGTAGGACAACTGTAGGCTTCGCAACCATTAAGAGAGTGGAAACATTTTGTTGCTGTTTGGCGCTCTCGGCGAGTGATCTGCATAGTTTTTTATTTGGTGTTGATACAGTACTCCTTATGCTTGGGCGGCATTTTATAGGTATGCTCTTATAGACAATTTCATTGCGAACACAGTGATACCAAATTTAAATACGTGCGCCTTCAATTATTGTCAGGACAGTCAAAAGAGTGTACACTTTTTCGGTCTTACCGCGTAGGCGCGCGAAGTGCTAGAGCCCTGAAAGAAGTACATCTGGGCTGTATAGATCAAAATTGTTTTATATTTACAGCCAGTAAAGAGAGCGCAGCATTAGAGGGAGCGCGAGTAAGTTTATAGGAAAAAGAAATGCATCATAGATGTAATAAGATACATTAACACTAGTAGTTTAACTTTCCACATATATTAGCCCCATTTTATAATTATTATTCATTTGTTGCAGGATGCGACGCCGTTCACCACCACCAATGCGTCGGCGTTCTCCACCGCGTCGTAGGTCTCCTCGTTCACGATCACGTACTCCACCTAGACGTAGGAGATATTCACGTTCCTCCTCCTCCTCCTCTCGCTAAGTTTTTTTTAATTGAATTTTTTTTTTTTACAAAAAAAAAATTGCAATGCTATGTAATTTGACATTGTATTGTATAAACTAGCTAACTTTTCTTGAGAAAATTACAAATAAGATTAAATAATTTAAGATATATTATTGTTTTTTCTCAAAATTTGGCCTCCCCCCCCCCCTCCTGTTTAGTTTATGTAATAAGTTAGTATTTACTCCTGTAGGAATGTCCATATATCCAGAAGGAAACAGAAATAACTATTGAATTGTCTTCATGTTTTTAATTTATGGTATATGCTAAACGGTTATCGAGTTCTAGTTACCAAATCATGTCACTAATTATTTATAAATATATTGTGCATCAACCAGTTAAACTGGCTGTACAATATTTATAGACATCAAAGATTTAGCACTGTGTTATGATAAGAAAAAGGTTTAAGAGAAGTAAAGTAGAAAAGTTTTCATGCATTGTTTTCATTTTTTAACGGATCATAAGTAAAAAAAAAAAAAAAATTTCAATGTATTGAAAGAGTAAAATACAGCCGTGAATGTAGATGTTTGTATAATATTGTATATATGGAGAAAGGGGACCCATAGCCTCCTTGAGGCTCAGAGAAAAAACACAATGTATTAGAAGGGATTTTTTTAATGTAGTTTCCCTGTTTCCCTCTATTGTAGTTTCCATGTTCTTTGTCCCTCCAGTGTGTCACCTTGTTGTGGTGATGGAGGGACTCACGTACGACTCCCTGGGGCTGGTAAGGGTTGCCTTGGACCCCCCCCCCCCTCTCTGGGTGTTATATGTGCTAAGGTACACAAGAAAATGGAGCTCTCGGGAGTAAGTTTCGCACTTTAAAGTGAAGTGTCCCGAGGGCTCAATTTTCTTGTGTACCTTAGCATGTACATGTGGAAAAGGGCAGGAGAGGGGGCCAAGGCAACCTTTACCAGCTCCAGAGTGTCGTACATGAGCCCCTTCACCATGACAAGGTGACAGTGAAGGGAAAAAGAACATGGAAACTGCAATAGAGGGGATTCAAAAATCCCTTCAACAGTAATGCATTGTGTTTGCTTTTCTCTGAGGCTATGGGTTCCTTTCTTTCATATATACATTCTTCAACAAGGCAAGAAAACTACCGCCTTAATTAACAGACAAGGGAAAGAGCCAGGAGGAACTAGTGAAATTAAATAAGGTATGGAAAGTGAAGAGTGGTGAAGTTGAAGAATTTAACAAGAAAATAGACTAGGGTTCCTTGGAGGTTGCTCACAACATAAATAATTATCAAAAGAAGGCACAAAGTTGGGGAGGCTATGTAGTATCATCAAACTGCATATAAAGGATAAAATCCTAAGATTGAGAATGGGGAACAGGACTTCTAAGAATGAAAAAGAAATGTGTAAAATGCTAAATGAACAGTTCCAAAGTGTGTTTGGAACAGTGTGTATAAAATGGGGATTTCAAAGCGATGGACCCAATACGAATTCCAGAGCATGCCATAAAAAATACATAGAGGTATCTCAAGACAAAGTAGAAAAATTACTAAAGGGGCTAGGAAGAAATAAAGTGGTTGGACCTGATGGAGTTTTACCTTGGGTGTTGTGAGAATATACAACTGAGCTGAGCATTCCACTCAAATTAATATTCCAGACATTTTTGTGCACAAAAATCTTAGTAGATATATGGAAAAAAGGCAAACATAGTACCAACCTATGAAAATGGTAGTCAAGAGGAACCTCTGAATTATAGACTGGTGTCATTAACATTCGTTGTAGTGAAAACACTAGAAAAAAATAGTTAAAAGTCATATGGGTTGGACACCTAGAGAATAATGACATAATACAGACAGTATAGTTTTCGAGTCAGAAATATTACAGGAAAGAAGTGGTTGGGCTGACTATCTGGACCTAAAAAAAAAAAAACTTTTGATAGTCCCCCACAAGAAGCTGTAATGGAAACTAGTACATACTGGATGTGTGACAGGGAAACTTCTGACATGAATGAAAAATTTTCTAATTGACAGATGAAGGCAGTAATCAGAGACAATGTATCTGATTAGACTCTGTGGTACCCTAGTGGAGTACCACAGAATTCAGTTCTTGCACCAGTAATGTTCATTGTCTACATAATAGATCTACCAGTAACTGTATAGAAGGAATACAGAATTATATGAACATGTTTGCGGGATCATACTAAGATACTGGGGGAGAGAGACGATTGTAATGCCCTTCAAATTGATCAAGATAAAATAAGTGCTTGAAGCATCAAGTGGCAAATGGAATTCAATGTGAATAAAACTAGCGTTGAATGTAATGAAATGCCATTTTATGGGCGAGACCTGGAGGCACATGAGACCAGAAGACATGGCAGGATGTGCAGAATACCCCCGTTGAAAAGCAGAGGTGCAACAGGTACTCTGAGAGAGAACTATCAACATCAGAGGCCCGAGACTGTTCAACACGCTTCCACTACACATAAGGGGCATAACTGGCAGACCCCTCAAAGTGTTCAAGAGAGAACTGGATAAGCACCTCCAAAGGATACCTGGTCAACCAGGCTGTGACTGATACGTCAGGCTGCGAGCAGCCGCGTCCAACAGCTTGGTTGATCAGTCCAGCAACCAGGAGGCCTGGTCAACAACCAGGCCGCGGGGACACTAAGCCCCGGAAGCACCTCAAGGTAGGTAACCTCCCCGGAGCTATACCTGGGAGCTATACCTGGGGTTGATGTGTATATATTAGACCGTGGCAATAGTCAATCGAAGGAGTTCTAGGCCTACCGGGGACCAGAACCTGGATCCCTCAAGAGAGGCACGAGGAGGAATGGCCTAAAGACACCCAATGTAATTGGAAGCAGTCTTTGTCTGCCATCTACCAGGTCAGGCACCCAGAAAAGTAGGAATTCCAAAACAAACTACTGCTGATAAAAAAAAAAATTACAAACCAAAATCCGAACAAGCAACAGAACTCCCCAATCAAAACCAAGGAAACAAGTATGACGTCACCACAAATGCCGCGCATTCGTCTGCGCAACCCCCCCCTCCCCGGAACGGAGGACGGGGGAAAAGGAATTACAGAACTCTAATAAAGAACAAGACTTACGGGTAGTTTTGGATAATAAGCTGTCGCTGGAGCAACACAAAAAACATCGAGAGAGGAACATATGCGTCACTTTCCAACTTCAGACTTGCTTTTCATTATATGGATGGTGAAATACTACAGAAATTGTTCATGACTTGTTTGAGACCAAAATTGGAATATGCAACAGTTGTATGGTGCCCAAATCTTAAGAGGCACATAAATTGGAAAAGGTGCAAAGGCATGCAACAAAATGGTTTCCAAAACTGAAAAAAACAAGAACTACGAGGAGAGACTAGTGGCGTTAAACATGCCAAAACTAGAAATTAGACAAAAAATGGTGATAAGATCACCAATTACAACATATTAACAGGAACCGACAAAGATGAATTTCTGAAACCAGCAACTTTACAAACAAGAGGACATAGATTCAAGTTAAGGTAACAAAGGTGCAGAAAAAATATTAGTAAGTTTTCCTTTAAAGAGTGGTAGATGGTTGGAACAAACTAGGTGAGCAACCTGTCCCTCGACAAAGAACGTCGCTTTTCACTCGTACACATTACATAAGGCCAAAAAATTTTGTACTAGAAAATGGAAGTAAGTAATTATCAAAAGAAAGCACAAAGTCGGGAAGGCTATGTAGCACTATCAAATGTGCGGAATAATCATAGGGCGCTAAATATCACTAAGGGATGCCAATATGAAAACAGATGGACATCATCAGATGTCCATTGACCATACATTCAAAAGTTTTTTCAAATGCAACTCGTGAGGGCAGTGGGGCAGAAGTCCTTAGGGGATGTCCTTAGAGACCCTGGTTTCCGAATGGGAAGAACCACCGTCTCGAGCCAGTCCTCGAGGACTGACGACGACTCCCAGATATAGCAAATACCAAGACGCGCATAGAAGGAGATGGCGAAGCATCTCATAATGAATGTCATCTGAGCCCGCTGCTGTAGAACTGCAAAGGGCCAGGGCGGACTGAAGTTTGGAGAGAGAGAAGGGATCGTTATAGGGAAGCTGCAGATAAGAGCAAAAGTCTAAGGGATAAGATTCAAGAATGGGCTAACGATTAAAAAAAGACAGAGGAAGATGAGAACCGGAGCTAACAGTCGAAAAATGGGAAACAAGTTCTGTCTGACCGCCACACTAGTACTATGGAGGTGAAAGACTGGCAAAACATCTGGAACAATCTTACCCACTATCTTGCAGATTTTTTTCCAGATCTGAGGCAGAGAAGTGTCAAATTTAACCGTGAAGACATAAGAGTCCCAACTCTCACGTTTAGCTGTACGGATGGTCCTACGGGCCACTGCACTCACCTTCTAAAATAAAATAAAAAGAAACGGCCGTCTGCCGGCGTCAACGTTTCTTCCAGGCTGCCCGTTTACAGCGGACAGCCCGAGCAGTCTGCATTCCACCAGGTAACGCACTTCCATGTGCCCCGGGAGGTAGAGTGGAAAGGTAAAAAGGAGGAGGGCTCGAGGGAGAGGTTGGAGAGAGTAGCATGTAGGGTGAATAGGTTTCAGTCAGCCTTGGCAAACTGCCACCTAGGGAAGGAGAGGGGAGGGTGAAAAGAGAAAAAGGTGACAAGGATGGGGAAACTGTCACTGTTATGGAGATCATCAAGAACCCGCCACGTGAAATCTAAGTAAAGAGACGACGATCAGAGAGAAAGATCAAGACAGGAGAGGGTGCGAATGCAGGAGTCAACATGACTGGGTTCACCAGAATTCAGAAGAGACAGGGAAGAAGAGAGGACAAATGGTTGGAGAAGGCAGCCCCGGGTGTTTGTCAGAATATCATCCCAGAGGGTACGCTGACAGTTGAAATCGCCCAACAGGAGCACAGGCTCTGGTAAGGAGTTCAACGGGTGCGTGAGATCAGGGAAAAGAAAGTGGGACATTTGGGGGTAGATAAATGGAACAGACTATATACCATTTACTCACAAAGATACGGGCCGCAGTACATTGGAGGGGCGACTGAAAAAGGAGGGGGATGAAGGGAATATCAGTACGAATCAAGAGCTGGTGCAAGATGGGATGAGTCTTCCCAAGTGATGGTCCTTGCACCTGTTAACAGGGAAGTCTTACTGCATCGGACATTTTCTTACACCAGTGCAAAGACCCCGTATGACCTCTCCCCTCAGGGTCGGACCCTCTAGTGGGTGGTTCGATGACCCAAATGTGAGCTCTACATTTGTTTTATTTTGCACATACAATGCCTAGAGAGGAAGGAGAGACGGCCAAGCCAACCCCTACCAGCCCCAGGGAGCTCCCTCACAATGACAAGATGGAACTTTGGCACTTTTTTTTTTCTCAGAAATATCTTTCGATAGCATTTTCACCATATTTTTTTTTTTACAGTACTTACAAACCTATCAATGATTTAAA